TTGTTCACACAAACAACTCATCACTCGGTGTTGATCACGCAAATCAGCAGACCAAGATCCCAGAGGCATGTGCAGAAATGGGGGCATCTGAACGTACCCTCGACTCCATGCTTTGACTTAAACTTGTGCTCGGACCCTTGGCTGAGGCAGTGAAGCTCTCTGAACGATTTCTTGTCCTGTTTTGGAAAGCCTTTGACGTGCCAAACAAGGACTTCAACTGGTCACGCTTAGGACTTAATTGAGCATACGGAGTAAACTGTAACAGAAACACATTTACTCTAATTTGTGTAATTTCTAAACATGATCATTAGTAACTGTGCCACAATGAAAAAGGTTTAGTTCCTTGCATTTAGCGTGATTGGTTAGGCCAAAAATGGCAGTGGATTTCATCCAGCCCTGGATCCTACCCACCCAGTGCATGCGACGGCAGACGAAAATGAACAGGAAGCAGTGGCAAGAAGAGATGTGGAAGTGTAAATCACTTGTGTTTGTTGTGATACAACACTAGTCCAGGATCTACAGCTCTAACAATTAGATATTTTCAGCTGTCAAAAAATCAATTTGTCCATTTGACAACCCTTGCAACACGCAATAACAGAACTTTGAGGTTGAGAGAATCACTTTGGCTAAATCACTTCTTTTGGTTAGATTCCAGAAGACTTGAAGGTTTTGATAAGAACGAGTCCCATGACAGGCGAATCGTTGGGTTGATTTTAAGCACCACCATATAAACTTAAATAAGTGCAGAGATATGACAAAAGCGCACCAAAGTTGGAGTAAGTATGAGCATGTATTATCACGGCTAAGTTTTACTTTAAGCACACTAAGATGACGTCATGTTTGAAGTGACCCCGGTGTGGTTTTAGAAATCACACCAGGCCGACAATCTACATTGACACGTCCTGACCGAGAAAAGAGCAGAAAATGCTGATGGCGTGTAGCCCAACTAATTTATTGATGCAGCGGTGTGTGTGTGTGTGTATACAAGATAGCAAGTACGTTTCTATGTCCTTGCTAAACATCGATCCCTGAACGAACATAGTTAGGTGAAGTTCATTCACGCAAATCAATTGAATCATGTTCACTCCCGATTGCTAACTGCGTTCGCGTGCTGCTCACCACATGTTAAATACTCGACAAACAAAAATGCTACAAATGAGTACTACAGAAGTAGCCGCATGCCTCTTTTTCCACATTATGTAGAAAAAGAACTTGACCAACTACATTTAGTGTCTGGATGGTGGGTTCAAATGTTGGGGGCCCTAGCTACATAAATGGGAGGCAAAATCTACTTTAGATGTCACTAGTACACCTTTTCGATTATCGGATATGGAATTAACTCACAATCAAACAGGTTTTCAGCTATTTCCTGTACTGTACAGGCGATTTAGAAACTCGAGTGACTAGTGCCTGAGTTTTTAACTCGTTACTTATAAGAGTTCAGTAGCAAATTTTGAGCACTGTAAATGACCGTTGTCACATGCACTAGTCTTTGGGAGCCAATGTTACCAACAAGCAAGTCAGTTTATTTAGTTTATCTGAAAACGTCTACTTCATGAGTTGCGCCGCATTAAATTACATCAGCGATTGGGTATTTTTTGAATTCACAGAGGTGAACGTTAGTTAGTGTGGTTGTAGTTGTAGGCTGAGCACAATGAGATAACATTGACGCGGCACCAATGAAACAAGTGCCGCAGATCGTGTCATTGGACACCAATTTCTGACCAGTTCTACAGAGGATAGTTTCAAGTTTGACGACAGGCTTCACGATTGGACCGTTCATAATCGAAAAATCCAGCGTGCCTCCTGGTGTGCGAACCCAATGCGCTATCAAAGATGGCGATGATAACCTCCCTATTCATTCAACTTCCGGTCGTACATGTTGCATGCTCCCTCAATTAAATTAACCCCCATGGCGATGTCACATGAAGAACCTTTTGCTTCAAGACAGAAAAGCACCCTTTCTACGGCCAAAATTTCCGCTGACTTGTCGAAACAAAAAGTTGTTGGCGCGTCACTTAAAGTGGCGATTCCAGTTAAGTGCAGTAGTTTGAAATCCTGCCAAGTTATCACAGGAGATACCCATAGTCAAATAGCAGACTTTGTAAATTGCAGAAGGCCGAGTCCAGCGCACTAACTGAGACTTGTCCTCCGCCTCACTAGGTATCTGGATTGGGGTGCGAGATGTGCCCACAGTGGCTGCAAATTAATCATTTTGTCGCACTGGATAGGCTATTAACATAGTTTTGTGACATCCTACACCAGGGCAGGCATAGCAGTCTCTGGCTAAATTGAACTGACAGATTCACTTAATCTGTGGAACAAGTTAGCTCTTTGTTTATTAGTCGTGCGTATCGCTTTTAATCAACTCGGAAAGCTTTGAACTGATAAGCTAAGGGCCAGAAATTTGTGGAATTATGATAGTGCGGCAACTATAATAATGTGCACAGATAGACTGGCACTGAAGTAGATATACACGTAAGACGAGAGGAACACTGACAGGAAAGCGATTACTGGAAGGCGTCGTGAAATACCGCTGCATGCTAGATCGTATGCCATGGCAAATTATGCAGAGGTTGTCCTCATAAAGTGGGTCTGATTCCGCCACCTATTAACGTGTCCGAATTCCGTTCTAATTGTCTTAAATTGTAACATTTTTCTGTTGTTCTCTCGGTTAGATTTCCTGTTAACTGCAACGGAAAAACCTTGCGCGTATCGCAGCATTTCTGCATTTCAGCAAATATGAACGCGCAACAAGCACTTGCCCAGTGATGTTGCAAACAGACGTCAACCGAGGATTTGGTTCGAAGGTGGCAAAAAAATGTTTCAAGGAGAGACTGATTGTGTCTGTAAAAAGAAGCTGGATGGTTTGAGGTTTCAGAAATGACGACGAAACAAGATCGCTCAGCTTTGTCATAGCTTAAGAATCAGAATTACCATGTTAGCTACTAAGCCGCACAAGATTCATCTTGTGTAGGCTATAACGATGGGTGACAGCACACGCGTAAGGATGTGCAAAAGTTTTGAAGATGACAGCTTTAAAAACGGACTATGATTAGGCTACATTACTTAAGAATGACCGCGTGGGCAAGCGAATTGTTTGCATTTGAGGAGAAAGAAGTCCACAAGTTTCAATAGAACCCGACGCGAACTGACTACAACTAAATGTGTTCAGAGCCATTGCAACGAATTTCGTGTAAGACTCATTTTTCGTCCAAAAAATGTGACCGGTGACGACAATTTAGATATGCTTAAGACCCAGCTACTTAAAATCACAAAAATGTACAATGAAGATTCTCAACCAATCAAAGGTCGGACGTGTTTCTGATGGAGACAACATGCAGATTGAGTGGCCACCAGACTCGCCCGACCTAACACTCTTTGATCCCCTTCTGTGTGAGGTTATGTGAAAAGACTGGTCTTTGTCCCATATCTCTCTACTCAAGTTGAAAATCACAGAGGCCCTCGAAAAAGTTACACGCGGAAACATATTGCAGCAAGTGTAGCAGGTACGAGACGACTGAGTTGGAGTGCATCGTGTTACAAGCACCGCGCATATTGAATAAATGTTATAATTTTGAAGCATCTTAAGATCACGAACCCATCAATTTTTGTCGGATATTTGGAACAAAATCGATGACGCTGTTAATTAGGCTTTTTTTAAAATTCACTTCACCGAATGCTCACTCCCACATAGGTATTTCAAATGGAGCACCAACACAACGATACCCGCGTTGAATTAGGCTCTACACAAGGTTTTGGGAGCTTAAAAAGTGACTGCTGAGTAGTAGCAAGATTCCAGGAGCAAACCTCTTTAATCTCAATTTAAAATTTCACATGATGAATACCGTCAGCAGTGCACAAAATATTATGTATACCGACGGGATTTCAGACGAGGAACAAATCCCGCTTTAAGAGAATAAACGTCGAACCTCTACCGATTTTGACCCATTCCCCTTTGGTCGGACTGCATCTACGCAGTTTGCTGGATTCGCCGCTATCCCGAGGCCCAAATCAGGGCTGCCACGATACCACACTGGAAGGCCTCATTCGTAATGAAAATGTCCCCAACATTGTCAGACTTTACACCGGCCCCACATTGCCTCAATTTACAACCTCAGGGCTCATCGGCGCTACGCAGTGCAATTCAGCTCCGAGGAATTAGTGACAAATACCCCCTGAAATCAAGTTAAACGACTGCTTAACACCTCACCTAGCTGATGACTCGTGTGCAGCCCCATTCCCAATATAAAACTACATCATTTAGTTTCCAACACAAGGCAAGACTTAGAGCACAAGGAGATTGCGTGCTCTGCTAGTGACAAATACAATCTGGTGAACTACCTGGCGATTAACTGCTTAATGGATTCATAATTCAGGAACCAAAATTACAACGCCAGATACACGATTATGAATGGCGCTAGCTGGTGGACAACTTAGAGCAGAAGACTGTCAGAGAATATCTTACACAGTGACACAATGAATTAATGCAAAAACCGGACAATCACCTTCGACAACGGTTACAATACACTACGACAAAAGAATAACCTACTAATATTAGATCGATTTTCAAGACGTCACACACGACTAAATAGGATCATCATAACACCGACAATCACACTGGTCATTTCATGTATGAGTTGCCGATGGACTAAAGAGATAAGAACCTTCACTAAATCAACGGCAAATCTATCAGACAGTGGGGACTAAAGTAAGGCCACATTACATCGCTATTTGCATAAACAAACAAAAAACGAAGACCACACCTACCTACCACCGAAAGAGTTTATTGGAATAGGAAAAGATTGGAGCAGAGAACCCCGATCTAGGGGGCGGCTAACTACAATTTACAAGCACGGAAAAGCCCAGCCAATTGATGCATTTGGAGAATATTTACAAATAATTGAAACAGAACATGATGGTAAATTGGGCATCTGTCCATGATAACTAAAGGTCAAAAGAGGACGCTTTTTTAAGAAAAAGAAAGCGCCTCCTAGAGCTTAGCCGACAGTCAGGCCAACGCCCACTTCATACTTCGAAGCCGCATGATTCCCCAACGCACTAATCGTAAATGTGAAAGGAAAAGGAATCAGACGTTTCTCAAGCATTGCTGAAATATTCCAATTTGAATCAATTTGTGCTTTGAAGGAAACGTTTGACTTGGGAATGTCATACTGGTAACCGATACTGGCGATGCTCGTTTGCTGTTGATAATTGGACTCCAGCTCCGCGGCCAGCTGAAGACTTTCATTGACTTGCATGTGAAAGCTAGAATGAAAAGCCAACTGGAGGGGTCGGGCGGTTGCGGCAAACTGCCAAAAATTAGCAACGAATTTGCCACCCAGGCTGAATACGCCGTCATGACCGCCAGGTAACTGGGGGGAAAGGTGGTAGAAAAACATTGAACCTGCATAAAACCTATCAGACATTTTGCGCATCGTGTCGGTTGCCAGCATCATCTGGCCGCGATTCAGGTCGGGATTTATTAGCGTAATTCCAGCCTGCCACTTCGAATTACGGAGTTCAGCGGAAAGTTGCTGACCTGCCATTGCGCATTTTTGAATTTGAGCAAGGTAACGCACGCGGCAAAGAGGAGTGATCTGGTCAACTATTTGCGCCTGAAGTTGACCACTGGGATGGAGCTCGCCCATCAAGACAGGAAACGCCTCATTCTCCGAGACTTTCTTGTGACCAGCATACGTAGCACCAAAACGATAACCTGCATTATCTCCACTGCTTAGTGTAAGTGAGTGACTGACTTGAAAGTGAGGTGACAGACCTTTGTTGACAAGTAATTTAATGCCAGAAAATGGGACTGGGAAAACGTCATGAGCCTTGTTATGAATATTCTCGATAGCACAAGGGCCATCATCATACGGCTTAAAATCAGAGGACACTGAGGAGGCTTCTGTTGAATCCATGGTAGAAAGCACAAAGATATACAATAAAGAGACTCAACCAGCCAAAAACAACCACAGGAATACCTGGCGGACCGAACCAACACGTTGGCAAACCAAACGAGGCGCCACGGACACAGAATAAATTAAACAAGCAAAACCATCTCTGAATAATACAGATAATTTGTTGGCAAGTATTTTACAAGACATTTAAAAAACACCCGTAGAAAAGATGTGGAATTTCAAACATTTTTTATAAAATATAAGGTTCGGTCAACAAGTCTTGAAAATGTTGGAATATTAAAGGTACATCGCATTTGGTGGAAAAAAACATGCCTACCAACATTTCATGCGATGTCTTGTGCGTTTAAGATGTTCTACTTGTGAGTCTGTACGAGAGGCATTGTCCACGCAAACACGGAGCATGTAATGGGACGAAGACAGGAAACTTCTAACAGAATTTTTCGGAGAATAATTACAAGATGAATTAAGAAAAAAGAGGACCAACTTGACGACAGAATTCAAGAGAAACGTTGAGATCCATGTATTAACTATTAGGCAGGCCTAAATTTGTAAACATATAGGAAGAAGTTACCAGGCGTGGAGGGTGGCCTGAGTGACAAAGGAACCATTTAATAGGAAAGAATAATGACACGAAAACGACATGCCAATATACTCAAAAGTTAATGTACCGGATTAACATCGCTTTTCAGTAAAAAAATAATTTTTTTTTCTCGGTAAATTAATACACGCAGGCTCTTGATCATGAATCTCGCTAGTAGCAGCAGTCTCACTCTAAAAAAATTACTTGTAATTTAAACTAGAATATAGGCAAATGATGAAACGGTAATAGGAGAGAAATACCTCTCTTCTAATTAGCGTGGAATACAGTAGGAATTTCAATATAATATTATCATCACACTTTTTCGGAAAAACGATAGATTTTTTTGCACGTTTCGTGCATAATTTGTTTCAGATTCTAAGGATGACAGAATATCGATGGCCACAATTAATATAGATTTGTAGTACTTCATAACATTGCGCCGACAGTTCGATAAATAATTTTGGTCATCAAAATTGACGATGTCATTCGTTCAAATAAAGTAGCTCAAAGAAAATTCTAAGATTTAATTAAACAGCAACGTTTTTTAAAGCTATTCAGAAAGCTTGTGGTAGTACAAAAGTTATGAAATTGAATATAAAAACAACTCTTATAACTGGATTATATGTAAATCATAAACAAAAGGAGCAAATGGACAGCACCAGTGCGCTATAATCTCATTAGAACGATTGGATATTTTAGTGCCGTTTGTTGTATTTCTTTGGTTTAGGTTTACGAATGGTCATCGTACGTTATAATATAACGCAGGCAGTGGAGTCATTAGATGAAAAACACGCACCTCTACCACGGCGCTTTGATATAAAGCCAAATATTTTGTAGAATTACCTCTTTGATTATAATGCAATTCCATTTAATGATTAGAAGGAGGTCGTCTATTTAAAATGCATTAAAGTTAGTTGAACATATCTCCACAAAATGTAATTTTGGCTTGCAAGAGCATACGCATTTGAGGTGTGCGGATTAACAATTCCTAGATAAAGTAATTCATAGACGGCTTTATGAACCCCCCAAAAAAATAAATGCGTACAATCTGAGTTCACTAATTCTGTCACCGACGATATTAAAAATTAAACATCGCTGTCAAGTAATTAATGGTAGTTACAGCCCCCAGATATCAACGGTACTTAGAACTCAGTAACACGACTCACTACTAAACAGTGAATAAAGACCCAAGTAAATCTTCCTCTTTTATCAAAATAGTGCCACCCATTTGTCGAAGGGTGTTTAGTGCGTAAAATGTCAGAAATGCAGGTAGAACCACGTACGTTGCAAATAGAACGGATTACGAACTACGCAGTACGGTAAAAATGACTAGTGCAGCCTACGATTTGAAAGCGAATAAAAGCTTATACTTACTTATGGCTCTCACCAGGCGCTTTATTTGTATTCAAATTTCAGAGTTTCGTTATGTAGGAGTGTTGCTACAGCAAGAAACTCACTTGTCTCATACAGCAGCTTCACCCCTCCGCCAGTTTGCATTAGCATATGCTATTGCAAAGGAAAGGCTCACTAGTTTGTTTTAAGAGCAGAGGGCTGCTCAAATCAAAGTAGGCCAAGTACAGTTACGTACTTTATTTAGCATGTTTATACAAATATAGCAATAAGCTCAGCTGTACATGCGTTGCACAACATGAAGAATCATGCGAAGTCAAAAGCAGTGAATTTCTCACGTAGGTTAGCGGTAAGTTCTGTCTCTGTTGCCTCATCCTCAGTACACTCGCGCCAATTGATCCGCTCCGGGCAGTTCAAAATGGTCTTCGACGCTAAAACAGCCCTAAGAGTGGGAGAAACAAAAGCTCAGGGGCATCAGTCTACAAATGACAAAAAGCGCACTATGCCAATTTAAAACACGAGCAGGATGTCAAGTAGTAAATTTATCGTCAAATAAATACGGCAAAGTGATTTATAAAAAGGACAGCGCTAAAGGAAAACAGATAGTGTTGACCTTTAGTGGAGCGATTACATCGGTTCGCATTGGAACTATTTCGTTATTATCATTTTGAAGTGATGTGCGCGTGTAGGTGTCTAACAGATTTCCTACAAAAACAACTTCTGTTGAGAGGGTGCTACGTACCATCTCAAACTCCCATTACAAATATACAAACCTGATTTCAAGTTCAACTAAACTATAAAAGAAATCCACACGCAGAAGTATACCTGTCCCATGCAAAAAAGCTGTTCGGAAAAACAGCCACAATGTAGGTTCGATCGTGACACATTTATTGCAACCGCATGACAAAGATATTTGTCGAGGAACTAGACATGCTTTCTAGCACGTTGGTGTCGGGAAGACGGCGGCCAAAAGTAATGAGTACGGCATAGCCGATAATTAGAACTGCACTTACCGGCCGAAATTGACATCCGAAACTGAGAGGCGATCTTTTTCAACTTTGTTAAATAACTTCTCGCCGGTTGGAAGTTCCACGTAAAAGTAGGGGATTCCTGGCTTGCAAAACTACAGGGTAAGGGAGTGATATTGGTCAAGTGGGCCCCAAGTAAGGCAAAACAAACAGGGCTTTGGTGTACTTACATCCTTGATTGAAGAAGACTTTGGAAGGGGCTCTAACTTACAGGGCGAATTGGGCCAACTTTCTGACATTTCGATGAAAGCTTTCTTGACTTCCCCTGCTACAGCAAATGGCACTGGCACAACCTACAACAGTTGCACAAAGTCGATTGGAGGTCAAACGGTGGTTGAGGGAAAATCACAGTCGCAAGACGTCGACATCCCCTTCTACCACCAAAATCATGTATATATTCATACAGAAATACGCTTTTCGACCGATAGCTTCTTCATCTTCCATCATTTTACATGCTAGCCTACACTAATCGGGTAAAAATTATAAGAACTTCAAGCAACGGACTGATCTAAGCGGCTTTAAAAATTGTTAAATCTGATAACTTGACATCCTTAGGGACTTTACACAATATCACACACATGACAGTCCGTGTGTGAATGATTTGCTTGTCATAAACCGAAAAACTTGAAGATTTTGTGGTGAAACTAGGATTTTTTTCTTTTGCCTACATCTGAATTACCTTTTCACATACTTCATTCGCCTGCGTTTATTGCGGCAAATATGTAATAAGCTCACTATTGGGGTTTTGCAACAACACTTAACCGTACAAGGTATTCTTTCAATCTCCACATACTCATACACTGGCGTCTAGTACATTGTCGATTTCAGGTCGCTTGATATTACCCTCCCACACGGTAAAAAATAATTGGACGAGAGATTTTCACTCGACGGTAAACTTTCAAATACACTTGCCACACGCCCAACCATCTCAAGCATCTTGAATGGTAAGTTGAAACAAATTTTCGATAACTTTCTACCTTCTAGGAAGCACAATAACACATGTGTGTCCGTTATTTAACTAACGGCAAATTTAATGCTTTCGGGATAGACTAGAGTTTCTAGAATGATTACGCATGGCATTATAAACGTTGTAAAAAGAACGACTAGCATAGGTAAATAAATATTGCTCAAATCCAGGTCCACCACCCCGTGCAACTGGCAAAAACGCGACTAATAGAACCGCAATTCAGCATCCCCGCACGGTATTCAGGAGTGGAGCATCAGAATGACAAATACTTTGACTTAACCGCGTCCATTTTAAGCACACCAGATGTGTGTGTGTTAAATCATGACTTTCATGATAAATTTAGCATTAAGCAAAAGGGACCAAACCTGGAGTTGGTAGTGATGGGTTTTGAAGTTGCGCTCGAAAGCGACCATCACCTTGCCCTCCGCCTTGTACATGCTCCGCAAACTCTTCTTGTAGGCCTCGATGTCAGCTTGAACAACTTCGGGACACGTCAGCCAGCTCTGGTGGTGTCCAACTGTGAGGATTAGTACATGGTCTTTAACCAGTGGACCACGAGGCAGCGCCAAGTAAGCATGGGTTGCAATCGTCACAAGGAGATGCTTTGCTACTTGAGGGTTCCCCAAACAAAACCAGCACGCTTCCTGCACTAAAGCATTAAAAGAGAAAACGACACACTCTATTGCCCATCATATTACTTGATCGGCAGACTGTACATTATCTCGGGAAAAGGCTGTGTGGATACGCTTCCTGAATGCACAAGATTCACACAGACAGGAAAATAGGAGCCTTTTGAAGCAACTTCGTGGCATGATAAATGTATTTCAATAAAAGATTCACAACTAACCTCTGCTAGGGGCAGCCGTGGAGTCATCGGTGGAGCTAAGATTGTCCTGTTTCTCGTATTTCTTCAGCTTCCAATTCATTTTCCTCCGACCGCCACCATCACCAGCGCCTCGCTTCTGCGACACCGCGTAAAAATACTGGTCTGTCTGAACCTCCTTCAACAGTAAACAAACATCTCAATTAGTACAGCTACAGCGACACAGCACGGCACTGGCTGAAGCTCCTCTCAACGTCACACAAAACCCTCAACGCATACATGCCAGGATCCATTTCAATAAACACCTCCACACATGGAAACCACGCACACTACATGCTTGCACTAACAACGCACAGCGAACTGCGTTACGAATTAAAATTCAGTGCTCCGACACTGCGTCACCCATCACCATTTTCCAGCCACGCTTCTTGTTATTCAGTGGAGCAGGTCAGGCACATGACATTTCCTTCAAGCACTACCACCACCTTCGCCAAGAGTAAACGCCAGTGGCTATACCAACTGCACACATCGATCTCGCGGTGCAGCAGAAGGAATCCACTTGCAAGTCACACCAACCACTGACAGAAAGTGCCCATTCACAAATGAAGTCAACTGCTCGAATTCTCGAAATCCACCAACAAACAACCAGGGCATTCCCGAGTACGAACAAACTTGTCTTATGGCACACACAAACACAGGTCAAATCTAGTTCAGTCGAAAACATGCATTACGAATGCGAACCTACTTACCGTCTCCTTGGGCTTGGTCTTCGTTCGCTGTTTGATGGTCTCGAAGTAAGGGTTCTCCGTAACATCGGGAGGCTGTGCCACTAGTTCAACACGCGACATTTTATCCACCGGCTTAATCTTCAATGCGTACAAGTACTGAAAGAAAGGCAAGTGTTGCTACGATTGAAGCTGGCTGGCATGACGCCAAGCAACGAGCAAGCCAACATACTTTGAGGTTCTTCGTGTTCCCAACTTTAGCGAGACCTATGAAACGGGTGACGAGTTTTTCTCGTTCTTCAAGGACCCGGTGATTTCTACAAAGTAAACAGAACTCATCTCAGTTGTCGGTTTAGCACCTCCAAAACGGTTTAATGCAAAATTGTAACAATTAAGAAGAATAGCCAACGCATGGCCGACACTGCATGTAACAACTGCTCTTAATAGATATAAACGCCAATTGCCAACATGGTTTGATAATTTAAAATTCACCCAGCTTATATGTTTGTGCGGACTTTTTAATATGAGCGAGGCACACTAAAGCCTGTTCACCTACCCTCACGTAGGTAGGATTATAACCAGCTTCTTTATGACGTGAACTCTTTTCATGTGTTTGAGAACTTCAGCGGTAGCTCAAGATTTGGCCTCTTTTGGGGTCTTATTTTTATTAATTTCGCTGTTTTACATACAATTTGTTGCAATAAGCTATTCTCGTGGCCTGGGTACCTGCTTTATTGAGTTACACGTCTTAATGCGCACATTTTGGGATGTGCTAATAGCTTACAGCTCCCATACACTACTTTTATTAGCCATTATCATCGCCTCGTGCGCATACACACACGCGCACACATTAGAACCAGTGGGTAGTTAATGTCCGCCAACACCACTGCCTTATACATTTGCGCACACAACCGGAACGACCGAGAACTGGGTTTCGTTTCTCCCACCTCCACACATTCAGGGGCCGGGGGGCTAACCGCCAACCCCCCGCCCCTCCGCACACATGCCCCAGATCCCACCGATCAGACGGCGCGTGCGACCCGCGCAGAAAATGTGTCTCCCAAGCCCCCTCCACCCCCCGCCCCATCGTACCACCTTCTTACCAGGGTAATAACCAACCGGCGCTAAAATGTCACCGGTGTGTGTGTGATGACGGGGTGGGGTTCATTTGACACAGGTTCAATTATTGGTGACGTACTGCAGACGGGGCTGCCTTAGGTGGTCTCTAAAAAACCAGTTCAGTTGGACAGATGAAGTAAAAAACTAAAGTAGCAGGTGAATAAACAAGGTTTTGTGATAAATGAACAAATGGTTCCCTAACAGTGCATTAGGCGAGGGCAAGGCGACGGGTTGATTTAATGCATAGGTGAAAATGAAACCCCTGTTACCAATCGGAATAATTTTATGGCATAAATTTACCGCAATTTGATGTTTAATAAATCGGATTTGCTCGGTTGGTTAATTTGTCGCTGCAATCCCCTATTTCCAAGGAGAGAACGCCGGTTAACCAAGTGGTAAGCAACGGCACTCTGACCGGTGCATGTAATAAATGAGCGAAATGCAACTTTTAAATGATCGAGGAAAGTGGCGGTTGGTCCATGGAAAATCCACGCAACCTCTGAATATGGTAGATTTTACTGGGCTACAGACAAAGGGAAAGTCAGATTATTAGATTTCATTAATTTAATTAATTTCAGTAAAGGAAAAGAACATATTTCCTCCTGTTACTATCCGATTGATTGGCACCCACCAACCACGCGATGTCAACAAAGTGTAGCCCTGTGCATTAAACACAGGGAAATGTGGGCTGAATTTAATGCACAGTGATAATTTTAAATAATCACGATTCAAGCAGCGGAAGGTAAGAAAGTTACTGGCAGTAGAAATGAAGGTTGTCAAAAGGAGGCGAAAGAAGCGTTAAAGTGACCAGGGGCCAAGAACGCACTTAGCATCTCGTCTCCGCACGTTTGCCTGAATTTCTGAACTGTCCCGATTATCCCCTTTTTGGTAGATGGAACCGGGGAAACATTATTGCAATTTCCATTTTAAAATGCACACAAGTGAAAAAAAGTTATGGCAAATTTACGAAAATTTATAATGCCAAATTACTGGGAATTGTCAAACGGAACAATTCACATTTAAATGAAAATGTAAGAAACCAACTATTCTCTTATTGTGATAGCTAGGGTATGACGCCCTCGAATTTGGTTTCCGGCCTTCAAATAGCCCTAATGGTGACCTGAAAACAATTGGTAAGCAGACATTTACTGGCAGGAGCGCAGCAAAACCCTTCGACGAGTTTTAACGGGGAGGAGGTGCGTAGGAAAAAAAAGTGAAATCTTTGAAGCATGTTGATTTCAATTTTTCAACACAAATGACGAAATCGCACTGTAAACGCTATCTGGTCAGGGCAAATTCGCCCCATTTGGCAAGGGCATTAATCAAACGACACACAAACAGAGATTTGTTTGCCAGTGAACAAATCCCAAGTGTCACAGCAGTTACTTTGCAGGCGAGGTGATGCCCTGGGAGGTAAAAGCGGACCCTAGGCACTGATTGACTTCCAGTCGGGAGTATTTTATGAAGAATAATGCAATGTATGCCGAATTTGCCATTGCAGACGACTGGTGGTTGGAAGTAAAGCAAACAATCATGGAAAGCATGTTGCTTGAACAGCTCCTGCGTTGGTGAATTCCGTTCCTAAAGGGTTAGTGCAGGTTCCTGGACAGAAGGAAGAGTCTTGCATCGACTGATCGCGGCTGTGTCGTGCAGCACAAAAACTTCAAGGTAAATTATGAACGTACTCGGCCTTATTTTCACTACAGGTGCGTAGATTTGTTGAGATTTCGCAGCTATTTAGCAAAGTGTGCATGATTTTACACTGGATAGGCTTAAGTCTGCACAGAAAATAATGAAAATGTGAGCGTACTCAAGTCTAATCCGCCTCAGGAATGACTTGATCTAGCATCTCATAACACTTTTTTGTAGCAGCGTAACAAGGGCTTCCAACCTAAAATCTAGCGCGCCTGCGCCCTCTATTAATTTAGAGAATCCTTCGTCATTGCACTTTTTTACTGCTGTATCCACACAATATATCCGTTCAAACAACCGACGTATTTGTGTATTTTAGTTAATTTGATGTGCTAAAGCTATGAACTTTGTTTCAATTTCACGTGGCGCACGTCGTCTGCAGTTATGAGTTATTGCCTAAGGTTAACTGACAACACCAAGGAGATGCCGGCCTCCCGCTCTCGATCACAACCCAAAGTCTGGCGACGGAATAAACTGAATCGTCTCTTTTCCCTTCGACACTAGTCCTGCACCTGGGCTTTTACAACGAAGGTGCCTTTATTGCGTTAAGTTGGTGACGCCGTCATCGCTGCCACCGCCGGCATGAAGTGACGATCGCCTGAGGGGGCAGCAAGAAGCGAGAACTCGGCAGCACATCCCAAACGGATAGCAGCTGGACATTTGCTAGGGTGGTTCTACGTTTGGGCAGCGTTCGGATTCCGGACCTCCTCCGAGCCAGGGTCTGTTAAACCAGCCAATACCACAGCACCGCTCAAGGCAGCTAAAACACGCACTCATCTGCCTCACATACCTCACATGCCATCCGCACACCCAAAAATCGGTTTCTCGACTAAACGTGCCTACACGCCTGATTCGTGGGGTCACCAAAGAGCACCAATCTCTCCAACTGATGATCAAATCATCGAACAGCAGACCAGCTCCACGCAAGTAAATTTAACGACAATCACGCAACCACCTTTTAGTAAGCCAAAGAAAACCATCTTCCTTCAATGGATAAACAGCTCTTGACATGAGATCGGCATCACAGATGCTGTCACTCGCTTCAACACGCCACCATCCCTCATCTATTTCAGTCAGGTAAGCTGGAAAATCGAACGAGCGACAGTTGCATTCCCCAGAAAACCCTTTTTTTTCAAAAAAATATCAAGTCATCATTTAGTTCTGTTTGTGAGTCGACGAAATGAATTAGACAACATTTAAAAAGGTGGCCTTGGAGACATCTATGATTCCACTCAACAAGGAATGCATGCCTTCTGAATTGTGATCTTGGTCGTTCGTGTGAATGCGATGGGAGTGCCGGGAGCGTAACCGAAACAACTAAATGGAATGTTATTAGTGATTGAGGATGAAGCAAGCTTATTCTTATCTGGTTTCGAAAGTGATATTATTGACAAATTACAACTACCCCCTTGTTTTGCTGCATTTTGCCAATGTGTTCCTAGCAGTCGCCATTCCCACAGCCTGTGAGGTGATAGTTGAATATGACATGAAGCCTCAAAGCGTAAAACGATATAACGCAGTGATGGCATATGCTAATGAGGGAGGATTGCACTGAATTCAACCACACTGAACCACCCCCGTACCAAACGGCGCTCAGTCTGAAAGGGGTTCTGGTCTCTGCGCTTTGACATAACAAAGACAATGGAACTACGCTGTGGATGATGGTCTAATTCTGGTGTGGAGTAAACGGCAGCAGTTGAAGCTTCTTGTAAGCTTCAAAGTCCTTGGCTGTAGCAATGGGATGATCAGAATACATGTTTTCTAGATTTAATCACCAAGATCTCCCTGTCTATTGTAAATCGCGAGGAGAGGCAACAAGCTGTGGGAAGCTCAAAGTAAAACAAACTGACAGGATTCTTCCCAAGAATCCGACGAAATGTGTGTAATAAGGTTAAAAGCCGTGATCGAGCAATTTTTTGCCATAAAATACACGAAATTCTGTTCGATTAAAGGCATCGACAAACCTGTATAATGGGATTTGTCAAAGCGCCCAGGAGGCTTTATGTTGTATCTTCTCACACATTTATTGCGCTTATTTATAATAAACTAGGGCGATTGGCAGATAACGGCAGGGAATAACCGAGTTGCCTGGATCTAGTGACGATAAAGCTAAATTAATTTACTGAAGGTCAACGATTCGCAAATAGGCGCTATAAAATAAACGAAAAATAACATTTTTTCTCATCCACCTCACACATGGTAAAAATTTAGGATCAACTCAAACCTTAGAAGGGCTGCCTGCACCAGCTTTAAGAGATCCTGTTACAACCAATGCGAAGTACTGCTGTCCTTGGCAAATAACAACAATGATAATGACGTATTAGAATTAGCAACACAAGTGAAATGCGCATCGAGTAATGAACTAACCTGAACATCAGAGACCTCGCCACCGTGACCGACGTAGGTCTTGAGGAGGCGACCCACCGACGGATTCCACAGTCGGATGCTTCGGTTGCCCCCGGCCGTGAGGCAGTACTGGCCGTCCGCGTTGAAGCGCACCGCCCTGACGGCGCCCTGGCCACACGCTATCCGCTTGACTGGACGCAGGACACTCGGCTGTGCTTCCAGGTGGTGTGTTTCACTTGATTTGATGTTGGCCTTCAAAAAACAATCAAAGTGAGATGGAAAAATCGCAAGGTGACGCCAGCGGCATTTGTGAGAAAAGTTTGTTGAAAAAACCGTTTTCATCAGACAAAAGTAGACGGTAATTAAACTATTGTAAATTTCACGATTTCAAACACAAGAACCTGGAAAGTAGCACAATTTTGGTGCACCAAAAGTAGACTACCACAAGACTAGATTTGCCGTTAAAAATAATTTTATCATTTCTATCAGATTTTGTGACGAATTGTACGTAAATGTATCTTGATCACAACTTCCTCGATTTAGCAAAATGAATGAAAATCATAACAGCATTAGGATAACACGAGTCAGATTTGGGAAAAACCAGTGAAATGAGACGCAAAATGCTATGCATAGAGGACGATGATGCAACTGTAGAATCAGCTCGCCGTAGTCACCAGCACCATTGGTGCAATTATGGGGCCCAAACCTAAGGACACACGAAAGCCAATAGGGGCACTGTTTCCGAGTTTATTGGCCTTTAAGTGAAGTAAAATCAGGTCAGGTTAAATTGTAGATTAAGCACAATAGTACGACAAGATATTCAATAAGCAATGGCTAAGTCATGCAAGTGTGATTGCGGTGATACTAACCTAAAAACAAAAAATCCACACCTAACGCCCTAGCTACTTAATCCTATCGGTAGTAGCGCTGGCAGCCATCCGCTGCATTAAATTATATAGTCAAAAACCTTCGTAGCGGAACAATAGCACACTTTTACTAATGAAATGTACACGATTCGCTAAATGCGTGCTACAGGTCAGCAAAAATTAAGTTCGAGTGGCCGCCCGTAATGCGCAATTTACTGAAAGGGATGGTTTACGAAATCGTGGAGACCCAGGTTTGAGCTGGAGGTGAAAATCAAAGCAAGATCAAACAAACAGCCTTAGAAAGGTATGCATTCACGTACATACATAGAAAACTGAGGTGTACGTATTAAGTAACAACATATGTTTTTGTGTGTCACGAACAAACCCTATGTCACAAAGCACATGAATCGAGCTGATTTGAGAACCATATATCCTAGCACCTGAAGAAGAACATTTATCAGGTAACAAAAGACGCCAGTGAATCGAAAACTGGGGGCTACTTTGCTTCGCGATTCGACCGTCGTCAGCAGAAACCTCGAGAAACAGCATACCACCTAATCACACAGAAAACGTAGGTCATTTTAGCCTTGTCTATTCGTGCAACTGATAAAAAAGACACCACAAGTTTGCATACGACTGCAAGATAATCGGTTTTGCGAAGAACTTAATGACATCTTGGATGCGTTCGTGCACTCTCCTTTCTTTACGGACATCATAAAACATAACAAGCTCGTGACGTAGAACTCCTGCCCCCGCAAAATAGCATGTGCTGGGATAATCAGAAGTTGCAAAGCCTACTCATGATGAAAACAAAGAAAACAAGAACAGCATTAACAAAGTTGACGCAGTTTACGTGTGCAATATGGTAGATACTCTTGTTTATCTGAGATCTCTTAAACAAATAAGTGCTGTGTGGATCCGAGGGGTGTGATGCCAACTTGGCCAAGGATATAGGGCACGCATGGTGGTCTATGAAATGCACAAATGTAGATGTTGACGTGAATTCCAGGTCAACGTTTTTGACCCTGAATATTAGGAATGACATAAATGTGACCCTGGTTTGAAGCGGAGAGTAAGGGAGGTCTTTAATCCTACCCTTACGTACCCAAAAGGGTCGACAGATGTGCATGACAGACAAATCACCTGTTTACACACCGAGCACCTGGAGTTAAGAGACTTTGGTGCGTGCAAAGGGAAAACGTTTTGTGAGGCAACGTGACCGGTTTGAGTAAACTGGAATACCGAGAAGTGTGCAACAAAAGGGAAGGCCAACCACTCAAAAGTGGAATGCCAACAAATATGTATACCTCCGAAATTAACTGGTGAATTAAGGAAAGAAAAGAGGAAAGCAAAACTTTTTGATTTAAACTGTTGGCATGATACAAAACTGCTTGAAAAGCGTGTTAATTCCTACTAGAACTCTTTCATGCTGGAACAAGACTACAAACCCGTATGGGATGTGCTTGAGCGTCCACTACTTAAATTGCACTGAGATACGGAAACCACCAGAGCCGCTCACAAACCCAACTTCCGATAAGGGGAACTAACCTTCCACTTCAACAACAAAGAACAGGAAAAAATACTATAATATTTGTTAATGATGGTTCTATTAATAAAAAAACCCAGATACAGTTTTGTTCAAGCTGTCGAGAGATTATAATTAAAGTTGGGATCTGAGGGCTGCACTTTCATCAAAGACGCCTCCGTACTTTTGCAGAGACTGTTTCGCGTTTCTTTCAAAGTCATTCCATGGCAATTCGATTAGTCTAAGGTCAGAGGAACCATCACATTGTCCCCCGACCTCGGTTCCTCCGTGTTTTGACTCGTGGTCTTGCATAAAACCAGCCACTTTTCCCAACCAAATTACGCCTATTTGCAGCTACCTATGAGCGGAGTATCCAAAACAATTACGAGAACCTCAATTTTAGCAGTTAGCTCAATGATGCATGCCTCCTCCCCATCGACATCTCTCCCTAAATACTTCCTATTTTGGTACATCCAGTCATAGTACTCCCTCTACTATCAAAACACCTAAGTATATTTGCATGATTTCACCCGAAGTGACCGTTTTTTGTTTACGTTAATTAACAGCAGCAACACATAATAATTTTCAATATTCGGGGTTCGGCTAAACTGTCAACACTGGCGCAGACACCACAGACGTTTTGTTTGACTCCACAGGTTATTCACCTTGCTGTCGGTGGTTTTACTCCGCGTTTTGATGTTTACAAATAACAGCGCCCAAAATCCAGCAGTTACACAGGTTGCGTCAACTCCCAGAGGTTTATCCTTTAAAAAGCGAAAGGACAAAGATAATGTTTTAAGGACATCCTACTATGATGAACGACGGACTCGAGCAGTTTCCTAGTAGGTAATTACCAAAAACTTCACTAGGAGATCGGGATTAGAATATGCGTACATGCCCACCTCTGTTCTAAAACATAACGGAAACAATGTTCCACGTCCAAAGTTTACAACGACTCTCCCGATTCATTCTTTTGATGGAATTCTCAAATCTTCTGAAATCTGATTAAATCGCGTCAAAAGGGATGCGCTCAATGAAAGCAATAAAAATCGACCAATAAAATCAGATCTACACAGCTTTGTTTTATTTACATTTGTTGAAGAGGAAAATTAATTGCACATGTTGTAGAGGTCGGAAGTAAAGCAGCGAAGTATTATCATAAAGGGAAAACAGGTAAGAAGACAAAGCCTTGACTCAATCAAAAGATTTATTCAATGCACAGAGTCAACAATAAGGGCCTTCATTGTACAAGAAAATGTTTTAACAAAATCGGATTAGGATGCGCTCAAGAACTTCATTTTCTCCATCAGTTCCTCTAAAAGATAGAAATGTTAAATTGCCATCTAAAGTTCCACGCGTGTCCATGGAATTAGTACACAAATCTTCCAATTAGAAATGAAGGAATACGAAGAACCCCTTATGTAGCGAACTAAACAAAATAGTCACGTTAACGTGAAAGTGACTTTGGAAAATGAGTGGTGCATCAATAGATGCACCACTCATGGGAAACCAACTATGGCATATGGGATATGAAGATAATTAAATCATCAACGCAACGTGGTAAAAGGATTGAATTCGGGGACTTCAAAAATGCTAACAATTTGGAAAAAAAATTAAACTCACGGGTATTCTGGTTTAGCCAGTTGAGAGAGTGCATATGAGAATTTAGAATGTGCGTCACTTGACCAATGACGTTCGTTGTCTTGTCTGTGGAGCCAGCCAGAACCACACCGTCCCCATCACCGCCAGTAGCCGACTCAAGATCAGCCGTTACAGCATTCACCCGCTCGGCCATTTCTTTCAATTCACCCAGTAACTGTCCCAATTCGAGATCGGTGTTGATGCACACCTGGAAAATGGCCTCACGCTCAGCGTCGGCGTGCTGTTGGCTGGGAGGTAAATCGGCCGCCGCCTGCTCCAGGGGCTCTAAAAGGTCTTCAAGGATCCGCTGTTGCGATTCCACAAATTCGAGTTCCTACATGGGGCAGAATTTAAAAGCTTACGGTGAATACCTTCATCAAATGAACGTAGACTGGCAGACCGCAATGTAAGCTGATTTTTTAAACGTTGTAAACGATGAAAAGCAGCCAATTATGATCGGCCTCGCTGAAGGAGACTATGATAATCTAGCATAAAGTCGATGAATGAGCATGGAATACCGATCAATCGCATTGAGCCCCCGAAAACTACTTGGGTGAACTTCTGGTTCGTTCTGTTTGAACTATGTACGACATTTAGAAACTAATTCCAGTGATGCAACACAGACGGAGATACATGAAACAATTGGGATTTTGCACGGCTTACTGCTAATGCAGACGCTTCTTTTAAAGGCTAATTGATCATACAAAGAAGAATTTGATTACTTCAAACCAGAAGGCCAGTAAAAATTTATTTTCTGAGTAACTATTATTCCTCCACTGATTACCACTGCATAATTTCTGCCAGGAACTCTACAGTTTAAAGAGGGTTGGCCAACAAATGAGATAGGCTCTACAAGTTACATGACTAACTTGTTCTATGCGGCTCTGTCCAGCTTTACAAGCCTCTATTTTGGCATGCAAATCTGAGATCTTTTCTGCGTTCGCAGTCAACACCCTATCTGCTGTGTTTAACTGCTTGAGCTCAACGGAGAAGTTTCGACTCTGCTCATCCAGTTCATAGGTCCACTTATTAACCATGTCCTCTAGCTGTCTGTAGGTGAGTGACGTATTAGCTGAGGGTTGCGCAGCACTGCTCACTGGTACACTAGTTGTACTAGTAGTGGAGGCAACTGCTGGAGAGTTTGTAGTTGCAAATTTCGCTGTGTCGAGACTGAATGACGGCGTTGTGGTTGTAGATCCACCAAAGTTTAAAACACCTGTAGTTGTGGTAGTCCCAGAAATTGCAGCAGTGGTTGCCGCGAAGGAGATTGAAGATGTAGCTGGTGCAGCAGCTGTGGTGGCAACGGATGTAGATGTTGGTCTTGAGCCGAATGCAAAATTACTTGTTACTGGGGCAGCGACCGTAGTTGCAGGTGCTGCAAACGACACCACGGCAGTTGATGCTGTTGTAACAGCTGGCTTAGAGTCCAAACCGAACCCAAACATTGACTTTGCCGCACTGGTGGTGCTTGTCGTCGCTTGCGTACCAAAAGCAGGTGCAGCTGGAGTCGACAAGCCCGACGATATTCCAATACCCGGCACGGATGTAGAAGTAGTTGTTGGATTGTTTCCTAAGGCAGGCAATCCAAAGCCTGGACGTAGAGTTGCAGTGGTGGATGTTGCATTAGTGGTGGCAACCGGAGTCCCCAAAGAGAAGCTACTCGAAACAGTGGATGCTGTTGTGGTAGCAGAGCCAAAACTAAACGACGGTGAGGCAGTAGTTGCATTTTGTCCTGTTCCGAGTAAACCAAAAGAAAATCCAGATGGTTTAGAGGAAACCGACGTAGTCGGAGTACCAAAAGAAAAGCCTGACATTGATACGCTAAAATAAACGGAGGGATAAAGTGAACGAAAATGGTTAAATCTAGTCAGTCGCAATCAAGCATGCTCACACAGGTCAAAATACCTTCAACAACCAACACATTGACTAAATCGGAAAGAAGAATATACTTAGCTATACCAAAACATAAATAGATAGGGAATAAATCCACGAAAAGCCAATGCATACAGTTCAGACATCCATGACTTATGTTCAGGTTTGTTTTCCTTAACAAGGGCAATCGCTTCGAATGCAAACTGGTAGTTTTTTTTGTAGAGACGTTCTGTAGATACGGATGGAAAGTCTGTTTTGGTTAAAAAAACCAGACATCTTAAAAAATAAACACATGTATCAGTTCTTTTCTGATTGAATGGTCAGAGTTCAATTGCCCTATGGCTTGGTTTATTTTAGAATAGTAATAGACTGCACTAACGAAATTTGGCTGAGACCAAACAGTTAGCTAAGAAAGCTATTTTAATGAGGAAGCCTGGTAAACATATAGACACTGGAGAAAATTTACTCAGCTGAAGCTAATAAGTATGGATTCCCTACAATTTCTATACCGGGGGAGTTCGCGTGTCAAAGATAAACACTGAAATGTTGTAGAGGGAGTATTCTGATACTGAATGCACAAACTGACAAGGTGGTGGTTTCAATACAATCAAAAATATAGATAGGAAAACCTGACTGAATTTCAGCTGGAAAAATTACACGAGACTCAGTAAGTCATGAATTAAAAAAAACTACTGGTGGGAATATGACGGACAAATCACGTAATACTATAACAGATTACAACAGCACATTCATCTAGCTTAAAAATTCAGAGAAAAATTGGGAATGGCACTAAAGGCACTGGATGAATTGTCGTTCCTGGGACAAATATTCTATTTCAGCTCAAACTTCATCAATACAAATATTAGTAAATAATTAATGATTTAACAGCGCTATATTTTGTTACCAATCACATTATTTGATGTAGATGACAGTGTAGATTCAGGACTTTACAAAAGGCTTAAAAATCAATGGCATTTACGAGAAAAGTAAAATCAAAATCACTCACAAAATGCAGAATTTAATATGTCGGGACTTGTAATAGTGATTTAAAACACTGTCGTGGTTCTCAGTTTGAGCACTAATGTGCAAAAAATAGTTTTTGTGTTTCTTTTGTCAAAATGAAGCAAAAAATATTTCGCCATATATTTATTTTGATCTCAATATCTCGTAAAAACCAATGGATTTTGATTTGGATTAATTAGATCCAATTCATGTTAAATAAAACACTTGCTTTTCATAGTTCCATTTTGCAAAACTAAAATTAGTGTAAGTAAGTGTAAGTAAGTTGCTAGGTAGTGTGCATGATGATCGGAATAAACAGTACATTCCCGATTTGTAAGGTGGCCAAAAGGATGGGAAATCTTGGTGTAAGCACTCTGTATACGATGCAGAAATCAAAAGGTAGAATTGTTGTTGCATCGGTAAAGTTAATTTTCTTATGAAGTATAAAAACAGTTGTAATTTAAAAATTGCATCTGCTGCTCACGTTAAGTCCAATTTACTGAAACTTATTGAGCCACAGTGAAC